TTTTTGCTAATCCAGGGATTGAACTCAGGCTTTTATGCTTGCCAGGCAAGCAGTTATTCTACTGAGCCATGGGGGCCTGCCTTACCTTTATAATTTGTTACTCTTCTAATGATCATAAAATTTTAGAAAAATTTATGCTAGTAATATTATTGGCTTTTTTACATTTTTACAGTTTTAATTAGAAGTACTCTGAGTAATGATAACAATATGCAATGTATTAGCCGTTATTACCCTTTTATCATCTTGTTTTGAAATTTTTTTTTATTTTTCTCTTTAAAATAAAAAATAAAAGTACTAATAATCTTTTATGTATTTATTTTACTAGGTTCGATATTAATGTGCTGGCAAAATTTTCTGCTTGCCTAGCAGATCAGCATTTGTACTATAGTCCAGTAATGGGAAAAATAGCTGATATTGTAAATAGGAAGTTGGAATCTGTACAGGACTTAAGGTAAATTTATTTAAGGACTTGTATTATGATACAAATGTCTCCAGCTTTGGATGTAGAAATAGATTTGCCGGTTGTGTTTATGGGACTTATGGCTAATATACTCTCCTCATCTATAAAGCAGTAATATCTGCTTTGCAAGATTGAGGCTGGGATTAGAAATAAGATAAAGTATACCTAATTCCATAGAGAACTGTGAAGGGGCGGGGCTGTTGAGATTTTTATCATGCAGGCTAACAGATTTGTGTGCTACATTTTCTTTTCCTCTTTCCACCTTCTCTTCCTCCTCTTCCTCCTTCTCTTCTTTGTTTTATTTTTTTAATTTTTGGTACCACTGATGGAATCTAGGGCTTAATGAATGTTGGGCAAGTGCTCTACCAGTGAGCTGTATCTCCACCCCACCTTACATTTCATCATGTGCGCAGGCCAAAGACATTAGTTTCCTACGTCTAAGGGAAGGGCGTGGAGAAAGGAAAGAGAGCAAACATTTGAATGTAAACCTATGTAGTTTAGTCCCCAAGTATCTTTTGAGATAAGCATCTATACCTTCTTTTGCTGCTTCAGAGGCTAAGCTCTGTGTGTTCAGACAAAGCCTTTCTTAGTTGCCCAGGCTGGGCCTGAACCAGCCATTCATAGGCCTCATTATGATTCCCAAGACTCCCCTTTATGTCCTTTCCATTTTGCATACCTTATAGCCTTGTTTTTGTAGTTTTATGGGTTTTGGAAGCCTATTGTATAAAATAGTCCATTGAAGATACAGGAATTAGGGTCAGGACAAAACCAGTGAAACAACTTGGCAAAATCTGTTGAAGTCACAGAGACTCAGGGCACATTCACAAACCATAGAATCCAGGATTCCTCTGTGATTCCTGAGCACTGAAGTGGAGCCAGTCAGAAAAGTGCATTTTTAGTTATTCATTTATGTAGTCCACGAAAGCAAGTGAGTCTCTGATCAGAGGGTGCAGGGCCAAGTGAGAGTTGTTTTTTTTTTTTTTTAATTTTTATTTATTTATTTATTTATTTATTTATTAATGTGTGTGTGTGTGTGTGTGTGTGTGGCTAGCTCAATCCACCAGGGGGCAGGGCTGGCTGGCATGTGGTGCTGGGGGATTGAACCGCAGTCCCTGTGCTTTGAAAGCTTGTTCTAAGTAGGTGCCTTAGACCACTGAGCCATCTCACCAGCCCCCAAGTGAGTTTTTAATTAGACAGGGCCCCAAATTCTTTTTTGCACGAGAGAGAACCCAGTCCAGGAATTTCCAGTCCTAAAGAGTCCTTTCCCTGTTCTCTCAGCAGCACATAAACTCTTTCTACCTTCAATAAATGTACATCTCTGCTCCCTTTTCTGTGTGTCTTGTCCAAATCTTTGTCTAGGACACAAAAAACCTGGAAAAAATTTCTCTAGGACCCATTAACCAGTAAGGACACTTTAGTAATTTTGAAGTCTTTCATGGTGCCTAGAAAAGTGACTTATGCCCTTTAAGTGTTTATTGAGTGAAGGAATGTTTAGTGCCACTTCACGTTTAGTATGCCTTACTGTTGTATAAACACCAACAAAGCACGGATTACTAAAACATGACTTTCATGAGCATTTTATTAGTAAGTCGGGTGTGGTGGTACACCTGACTGGGGGGCTGAAGGAGGAGGATTGCAAATTCAAGCCCACCCTGCTCAATTTAGCAATTTACTGAGAACCTGTCTCAAAATAAAAATTAAAAAGGACTGGGGATATAGCTCAGTGCAGAGGTCCTGGGTTCTAGCTCCAGAAAGGAGTAATAAAAAATTGAACTTGCAAAAATAAAAAATGAGGGGCCGGTGAGATGGCTCAGTGGAATAAAAGCTTCCCTGGCAAGTGCAAGGGCCTGAGTTCAATCCCCGGTTCCGAAAAAAAATTAAAATTAAAATAAATAAATTTTGAAAAAATGATACTTTCATGGGCTATTTGTCCAGATTATTTCTCTGTAAATTTCACTAATTTTTTTCCACTGACAGCTGTCTGTAGAACAAGGAATTCTGTACAGTTAGTAAAAAAAAAACAAACCTGTTTTAGTTATTTCTGGCTAAAAGTATTTGATTACTAGGAAATCTGAGTTTTAAGTCCCAGCAATATTTAAAACAAAAAACTTGGCTGGGCATGATGGTGCTTATAATCCCAGCACTTGGGATGCTGAAACAAGAGAATTGCCACTAGTTTGAGGCCAGCCTGTTCTATATAATGAGTTCAAGACCAATGTAGTAAGACCCTGTCTCAAAACAAACATGAAAGCTAGAAAGATTTTATGGTATAAAACAATCTTTTCACCAATTCTTTCCCATATCCAATTAGTTTTGGAATATGTCATTTTCTTTTTCTTGTTTTGATACCAGGGATGGAACTTAGGACCTTGCGCTTGCCAGGCAGACGCTTATGCCGCCAAACTATATGCCTGGCCCCTATTTCTTCAATAATATAAAAATCTTTGTGTCTTTTTGCTTTTTCAGGTCATTGTCCATCTTGATGATCAACATATCTTCTTTAATATCACAGCGTTTTCAAGAAAAATTAATAAAGAAAACAGAACTTCTTTTTGACACCATAGATTCTTCCCAGATCAACACTGCAAGAAAAATAGTACAGTTTCTTGGAGGTGTTAAAGGTACTCATTACCCGCTATTAGAGCGGTGTAATAAGGTGTTTTTAAACAATTGGATGGACCTTGATTTGGATTTCATCAGTAATATACTTACTATATACCAGTTTCTACAGTTTTATAGTTTTGAGTTTATTTCAGTGGCTAGAAAGAGGCTCACTAAGATGATTCCTTCGTTAGATCACCCTGAAAGCTTTGTAAAACTGTTTGTTGCATTGGGACCAGTGGCAGGACCTCAAGAAAAACAACAGTAAGTTCATCTTAAAATGCTCTGTTTTCGGGGCCAGGGAGATAGCTCAGTAGAATAAGTGCTTGCCTGGCAAGCGCAAGGGCCTGAGTTCAATCCCCGGTTCCACCAAAAAAAAAAAAAGCTCTGTTTTCTTGTTTACAATATGTGGAGGCTTTAAGCTTTGTCTCCCTGATCTCTGGAAAGCACAGAAAAGACTTTACTAGACTATTTAAGGGTAAATAATCTATTGTGTTGTGCTCCTTGGTTTTTTTTCTGGTTGGTCTTATTTGCTTATTTATTTATTGTGTTTGGTACAGGGTCTTACTATGCAGCTCAGACTCCTAGTGATCCTTCCGTTTTTAGCCTCCCCAGCACTAGGATTACAGGTGTGTGCCACCAGGCCCGGACTCATTGGCCAGCTCAGCATGCTTGGGACAGGAGGGGGGCTGGCAAAGTACATGGTTCCTGGGTCAAGCCCTGGTGCTGTGCTTGCCTAAGTAGGCACTTAGTCCCCTGAGCTGTCTCCCTGGCCCATTATTCTCTTTTATATCTTCTACCGTTAGTCTGCTGGTATGTTCTATAGTTGGCCAAAAAGTCCATGGTTCTATAGCAACACAGAAAAGACAAGGGAAAGCACCATTTAAGTTCTTTTTATTCTCTAGTCTTAGGGCCTTTCCCACCCAGCATGAATGTATGGAATATTTAGAACTATGGTCGTCCAAATCCTGGACCCTGTTTTATACTTTTTCTCTTCAATACATTCATCATCAGAGTACTTTAGGCACAGTGCCATCTGTCCCTACATCAGGGCTGAGTGGATTTGTCTGGATTATCTCTTAGGAATTTCCAGATTTGCCAGATATTAATATAGGTAGAAATACCTGGTGTATAAAAATGAACAGGACCCAGGAGATGGCTCAGTGGAATAAGCGCTTCCTTGGTAAGCGCAAGGGCCTGAGTTCAGTCCCCTGTTCTGCAAAAAAAAAAAAAAAAACAGTTAAAAATGAACAAATATTAAATTTACATATAAGATTATTATGACTGGTAGACAAGAATACCTCTACTAGATTGGACTCCTAGCAAACCGCCCATTTACAGCCTCCCAAGTGCTGGAATTACAGGCATGTGCCACCACACCTAGTCTCAATTGCCATCTCAGTGTGCCCTGGGGGAGGAGCTGGCCCCTGTAGCTGCTTACATAAGCTTTAATCTGCTGAGCTGTTTAGCCAGCCTTTAAGAGTTTTGAATTACATGAAAGAGATTGTATCTAGATGGAAAGACTTGATTGTTTTACTTATTTGTTTGGGTTTTTTTTTGTTGTTGTTCTGGATTTTTGAGACCAGGTCTCACTCTTGTTTAGAGTGACCTCAAACTCATAGTGATCTTCCTGTCTCAGTTTCCCAAGTGCTGGGATTACAGATGTGCTACCACCCCTGGCTACAGTATTTTTATATTTTATTTATTTATGGTACCAGGGATTGAACTTGGGACCTTGCACTTGCCAGGCAGGTGCTTATGCTGCTGAGCTATCTCCCCGTCCCAGTATGATTATTTTACTTTATTTATTTTATTTATTTTTAAAATTTATTTATTTATTTATTTATGTGTGTGTGTGGCCAGCTCAGCCCACCAGGGGGCGGGGCTGGCTGGCATGTGGTGCTGGGGGATTGAACCATGGTCCCCGTGCTTTGCTTAGCTTAGCTTGTTCTAAGTAGGTGCTTTAGACCACTGAACCATCTCACCAGCCCCAGTATGATTATTTTAAAACCTTATTGGAATCATTTTTGTCACTCTTGGTGACAAGAGGCCATACAGAACACAAGCAAGAAAAAAATTTGTACTGAAGTAGGTAGGAAAAGCTTTGGTGCTGGGCTGGTTGGTACATGCCTATAATCCCAACACTCGGGAGGCTGAGGTAGGAGGATCGTTGTGAATTTGAGACCAGCCTGGGCTACAAAGTGAGCTCAACCCAGTGTGAACTGCATAGCATAACTCTGTCTCAAAAAGACCAAAAAAAAAAAAAAAGAGAGAGAGCGAGAAAGCTTCAGTGAGAAGCTGCATTTGAAACACTTGATAAGGCTGGAGAAAAAGATGACATGAAAATACCCAGTATATACAGCAATTAACCACTAAGAAGAATATACGCAGTGTTTTATTTGTTGAAACTGTACTTCCGATTTGATTTGAAACTGTCTCATTGCTGTTTATCAATAAAACTTTGAAAAAAAGAAAAAGAAAAGAAAATACCCAGTATAAATAGAAAATTTATCCTAGTATCCTCAAATTTTATCTTTTGGGATTTACCTTCTGTATTGTTCCAAAAGACAATCTTGATCTTTTTATTATTGTAGCACTTTGATTGCAGTTTCAGAATGATCCATCTTTGTTAACTTTCACTTCGTAGCATTATAGCAAATGTTTATTTAGTATATAAGCTTTTTGTTAATATGAAGGTAAATTGACTTTCTGGTTAGATCTTACTTAATTTTAAAACATTGGGGTATTATTAGCTCCTTTGCTGTCTAGTACTGTATAATTTAACTGAACTTTTTTTTTTTTTAAAGCTGGTACAGGGTCTCATTACACAGCTCGGAGTCTAGTGATTCTCCTGTCTGAGCCTTCCCAGTGCTGGGATTACAGGTGTGTGCCACCATGCCTGGCTTCAGGCCAGCAAGGTGTACCTGGAGTTCTGGGGCCAGCACGGCATGTAGTACTGGAGATTGAACCTGGTTCCTTGCTCTTGCCAGGCAGGCGCTTAGACCACTAAGCTATCTCCCCAGCACTAACTGAACAATGTTTTATAAACATTATAATTTTCTTATTTGAAAAAGTATTGAAGACTTTTTTTTTTAAATAGTTAAGGATTAGCCTATATGTGGCCTTAATTGCTTTGAAGAAAATACATACTTTTTAAATTAATAATATATTTTCTCCAAGTATGTGGAGAGAAAATTGGAATTACAGACTGAATTCAATTTTTATCTGTGTCTTCTCTACCTGTTGGTAGGGAACTGGTTTTTTGTTTTCTTTTTTTTTTAATTGCAAACTAATTTTTGTTTGTCAACATAATTTTGTTTTCTTCCAGACTTAAGTCAACTCTATTACTGATGTCCGAGAAACTGACCAGCCGGCAAGCCTTGGCAGTGGTGGAAGCAATGGAACAAATGGAAAGCAGAGATTCACAGCTGATTAAAAAGTAGTCTTTCCTAAAATTGATGCTATTAAATTTACCTGTCACTTATAGGTAGCTAACTTTTGTGAGTAAAAATTGTTTTCTATATTAGGGCAAGCAGTACAGCTCAGTGGCAGAATGCTTGTCTAGCACCTGCAAGGTCTTGGCTTCCATTCCCAGCACTGCAAAAGAAGCTGTTGTGGAACAGTAAGGGCTGAGCGCTTACGCCAGTATTTTCACATTTTAATTTCCTTTTTATCAAGATAGAAGGCTAACAAAATTATTTATTGTGTCTTTGTTTTTTTTTATTTTTTTTTTAATTTTTATTTATTTATTTATTTTGTGTGTGTGTGTGGCCAGCTCAGCCCACCAGGGGGGTGGGGCTGGCTGGCATGTGGTGCTGGGGGATTGAAC